AAGTCTCAAGGAACTTTCAAGATATCGTGATAGAGAATACCTCGAAATAAACTACCAAAAATCAAAAGTTCTGTTTTTGCCAGAAGATGCCCTGATAATCCATCAACCTGGTCAGTTAATGGCAGACTCATTGAGCAGGTGAAATCATTTAAATACCTAGGTATTCACTTCCAATCCTCCATATGCTGGGGTCATCAAATGAGAGAGTTAGCTATGAAAGGTCAAAAACTATCTCTAGCGATCAACAAATTTGCTAATTGACAGGGGAGAAACTTCATCCTTGCAGCAGTTAAACTATTCAAGATCAAAGTTCTTGGCATGCTGCTATATGGATCTTAGACATGTATTTACAAAAATTTCTCATTCCTTGAATGTATACAAACATAATTATTTAAATCAATAGCATACACCCCATACTTTACTTCTAATACCATTACAAGATTAGAACTAGGTTCATCTCATTCGAGGCTTAGGCAAGATTATATTGTCTAAGATTCTGGGAGAAACAAATCATTTGGGGAACCTCATTGGTACATCTTGTTCTATAGGATATACATCAGTCTACTCTGAAAAAACAAATAGGCCGAGATCTGAGTGTGGTCAATACCAGCCTCACTTGCTTTAGGCCTAGAAAAAAAACGTGGTAGAACTTAAGCAGAGGGTATGGGAGTTAGATATTTAGGTAGACAGCCAAACTTTCCCATGTCTCATTGCTCTCTCCCCCTGGACACTCCCCAATTACTTCTATAAGAATCTGCATACCTCACATAGAAGGGTCTTCTCCTATCCTATATAGATGGATGCTCTCCATACTAGGGTGACAGCTGGTTGATATGCCAACCTTCCATATCTATTTGCTTAAACACAGAGGTTGAGTCTGTTTCACACATCTTTTTAAATTGCCCACTGTACTGGCACTAGCGATCAGAGCTAATACACCCACTCTTGAGTCTGATAAATGCCACTCATGACAAAGAGATTGAGGTATTCTTATTAAATGACCAATACCCAGGTGTTCTGAAGGTAGCAGCAAAATTTCTATTTATAGTCTAAGCTTATAGAAATCATTTGCTGACTTCAATGAAATGTTAACTTTATAGGGGGGGTTTTCCCCTTTTATATACTGTATGTACTGTTATTTATGCATGTATTAATGGTATGCTGTATTTTAAACTCTGTAAGTCTTGAACCAAGTAAATAACTGACTAACAACCATCCAGACCTTGGAGGGCAGGCCATAATCAAAAAGGGCTGCTTTCAGACTCCCGCCCCCCTCACATTCCATGGAAGGGGGTCTAATGCATCCCTTCCCAGACTGAATTCTCAAGACAGGCAGATTCTACCCTGCAGATAACTAGGGCCCAAACCATGAAGGGCTTCATAGCTCAAAACCAGCACTTTGAATTGTACTCAAAAGTATGATGGCAACCAGTGCTACAGGGGTTGCCCTGCTGAAGCAGATCCTCGCTCCTCCCCATCGCCACCTGCAAGCATGCAGCTGCATTCTGTATCAACTGAATTTTCTGCGTAGTCTTTAAAGGCAGCCCTAAGCAGAATTGCCTGCTTCTTATAACTAACTAATTTAATAACGTTGCTCTGATCGAGGCTGAATGCCCTACTGGAGTCTTCCAAACAGGTGGTGGAAGGGCACACAGCGGTCTTCAAAGTATCAAAGATCAAAGATAGGAGATCACACAAACAGAGCAAAAGAAAACGGAGTCAAGATGTAAAGCAGGAGCATAAGCTGTAATGTCAAGTACTGTAGCAGCAATCAAAAAGGAACAAGGGTTTATAACTGTTGACTAAGGTTATTACAGCTGATGTATCTCTTGCCCTTCTTCTGTTTCAGCTTGTTCTGTTGCAAGTAGCTGCAGGAAGTTTGATTCTTTCTTCATTTTGCCCCCCGACCCCACCCCAAGCAGGATTTTCAGGTTCTACCTCTGGCACTCTACACACACGTCTTTGCTCTCATGAATTTAGGAATATTCCACATTGTTCCAAGCCTAGGGTTACCAGATATCTGAATAGGCAAAGAAGGACACAGACAATCCGAGGACAAATGAGGGGGGAAAGGAAGACATACTAACTGTTTAACTTTCTTGGTATCCGCAAGAAAAATACAGAAAAAAAACTGCAAAAAAGAAAGTACTTAGGCCTACATGTATGTGAAATTATTTTTTCCAGTATCAGAAAGACTGGTTTTTCAATTGCAATATTTTTCCAACTAATCTTTATTTTCAATAACATATGCTAGCAATAATATAGAATCGACAACGATGTACTTTTCAAATTTCACTATAGAAACATATGATGAGTCATGTGATCTACAGACTACAGTAATCATAGATTTGAAGGGGCTGGATTGAAGCCAATTGCCGGAATTGGCAAATAAAATTAAATAATGTAAATCTAGATGTCGAGTCTATCAACAGACAAAGGAAAGAAAGAAGCGGACAATTTACAAGCTCATGATACATGAACGTTTGAATTACTACTGTTGTGAAAACAGTCAATAATAATAATAAATTAAATGTATATGATTTAATGAATAAGTAATTAAAAAACAAAACACTGAAAAAGCCAGACAATATTTGATTTTAAGGCTCTGCTTGCTGGAAGGAGGATATAAGGACAAAAAGGAGGACGTATCCTCCTTTTGCCAGATGCCTGGTACTTTATCCAGACCCCAGTCAGCTTCTTAGTTGATCACATTCCAGGTATGGCTGAAGGAAATCTATCATCATCTGCTCTTGGAAATAGCAATATTGGCTGAATAGCCTCTTCTTCCTCATCTGACTCATCTAAATCTGATAGGAGCATTAGCTAAAGTTTCTAAACACTTGAAACACAAGGCAATTCTACATAAAGCATATTATAATAACCCATGGAGGATGTAACTAAATTACTATGAGTAACTAAACTCAATGAGTCTGGGTGGCTCACAACAATCAAACAAAGAAATTACCATAAAATCAATAAAAAATAAAAAATGGCAAGCACTATGAAGCAAGGGGTCTCGCTGTCCCTCGCCAAAGGCCTGGGTGAAGAGCCAGGTCTTCATGGCTCTTCTAAATGACAGCAGAATGGGGGCCATCTGGATCTCTGGGGAACCTCTTTCCACAGTTCCAGAAACAGGTTTGCTCTGATAATTGGATAGGCTGGCACCAGATCTACCACAATACACAGCCCAGATCTTGAGAAATTTGTATAGCAGGATTACCTTTGTTTCTTGGTGAGTGAACTTGGAGTTAAGAGAATACATAGGCATTTAGAATGACAGGAAGGGAGATAGTTCTGCATAGTTCCTATTCCTACTAGAAGTGCTTCTGCGTTATCTAGATTAAGCAACAATTTGTTTTCCTTCATTCAGTACATTACTGACATCAATTGTCTTAGAACTTGAACAGCTTCATTGGACCAACACTTGAGGTTTTTAGCCACAGATGGAAAGTAATCATCTGGATCTGAAGCTTATCCCTGAAAAAGAAATGGTTGGCTAAAAGTATACCAATTTCTGCCATGGGTGACCAGCTGCCCAAAATATTAAGTCACCAGGATTGCAACCAACCTGCTCTTTGATATTCTCAGGTGTTTGCTTTTAATTAAATGTGCAATTAGATACATATCTACAATTCTATAATAGAATTTCTGTTCTATTCTAAGCATACATGCAGGTTATAATTAAAATAAAGTAGAAGTTGTATAATATTAACCAATGAAAAAAATGGCTGATCAACAATTTTAAAGTAAAGTAAAATCAAACCCTAACCAAGTTGACTGATTTCTCCTCATCTCTGCTTCAAAAATCATTTCATGCGGACTGCAGTGCTTCTCTACAGAATGCTCATGAATATTTCAGAGATGAAGTAAAGTTGCATAATTTACATCAGAAGTCACCAGGCTTAGACTCTCTGGAAAGGGGTTAGAAAGCAGCCTCAAACTAAGGCCCAGTATTAGGTAGGATGGACTAGAGATGGCTATTATAGATCATGTGACCCTTTTCATGACAAATTATCAAAGTTATGAAAAACATGGTGTTCTACAGTATTTCTGTTATGGAATATGCCACTAAGTAACAAAAACAATAGGGATGTATTATAATGCTGCATGCTATAAATTCAGATTTCATTCATATGTACTATTTTACAGTCCTCGACCTACTCCTGTGGAAATATTCTTACAAATACCTAGTGTCGAGCGTCAGGGAGATGACCTTGAAGGAAATAGGCAACTATCATTATATAAGCAAAGAGGGCTGAAATATTTCTCAAGTCCTGAGAAGCAAGATAGTGTCTGGAAGTGGAAGACTCAGGCATGCTCCTTCCTGATTCACTGGGATATAAGAGAGGGGAGGTAAAGCACAATCAGGCTTGCAAAATTCTGTTATTGTAGCCTATCACAATAAAGTATAGCCCTAATCTTTCTGTGGAGTCAGTCTCCTAATCTGGTCTATCTCGTAGGGCTGGCATCCATACATGGAGCAGATACATCATCAGATACAAATTTGACAGGTTCATGTAGTCCTCCAAAGCTTTGTCAAAATCAATGTGTTAATCATCTGAGTTGATACATTCCTCCCAAAAGTCAAGTAGTAAAGTTATTTCCCAATTGGAACCTACTGAAAACCATAGACTTTCCTTGTGTGGTTATTGCAAGAAATATAGAGTTAATGATATATCTAGCATGAATATTATTAATATTTAAAAAGAAAAAGAGCAAGCTGTAAAAATATCCTAATGGTATTGTGTAAAGCAGTCAGTTAATAAAAGGATAAATATATTTTAACAAAGAATGAAATGCATTAACAAATAATGGGCTGTATTCTGTAGATTTTTGTGATCTGGTTGTCTATTTCATCTGCTCACACTACAGTATAGTGTTGCTTTTCACTCCCTAAACTGAGCCACTTCCTGTGTTGCTGTTGGGAGCCTCAGTAGGGAGGAGCAGCAGATCAATCTACTAAAAGTTGACTCTGATCTTCTTTTCAAATCTTACCACAGTCATGCTAGCAGGAAATGGTAAGAGTGGCTTATGTCTACTTCAGCAACAGAACAAGATGCAATCAGCCAGTACTACTGCATGATCATGTGTTGATTGTACGTTTGATTCATCTCAACGCATTATTAGAAGCTAAAGGTACAATTAGTAATAAAGCACATATGTATTAATATTGCTGCCTCTTGCTTGGTAAATACCTGTGCATAATACACATTTTACAATGATAATGTAGTGGGAAAAATAAAGGATCCATTACAGACAAAATTGATGAAGCTGCTATCAGTATCAATTCCAGTTTTGATATTTATGAAAATTGATAACTCCTATAATTAATGATATCTCTCAAAAACTATTTTGGTAGAAATCCTATTTCCTCCTTTCATAATTAGGTCAGACCTGCCTTTTTCTAACTTTCTAACAGTATTCTTTGCTGTGGAAATTGCTGGACACCACTGTATTTACATGGATTTGAAAGTTCAATGCTACTGCAATGCAGTGCTCATGAAGGTTCCTATGAGCATAATTCGGCATCATTTGGGCCTCTGATGGATGATGATTAGACACTGTGCACGCAAGGGAGTTGTATTAGGTTGGATGACAGAATGGAACTGTCTAGGTTTTGCCTTGTGTTGATCTGTGGCCAAGACAATGATTGAATTGGTGATAGTACTTTTCAGGGAAGCTGTAGAATTACTCTTAGTGTTACTGCATTTACCTTTTGCTTCTGTGATTGTTATACAATACTATTGAATCAGCTGTTGGTTGCATTTAGGATTGTGTCTATGTTAACTGAAGCTGGTTATGGCAAAGCCACCACTTCAGTGAAACCAGATGACTGGAATGCTTCCATGGCTGGTACCATAAATGACAACATCATTGCCTTACAAATTCAACCAAAGATTCCTGAGCAACAGGTTAATAATAAAGGTTATTATGGACGAAAACTACAGAACAGTTATAAATAGTATCTTCTACTTCATCCTATAACAGGAGATACCATGGAAGCCATTGCCAAATTTGACTTTAATGCATCAGGAGAAGATGAGCTAAGTTTCCAGGCACGGGATGTTCTGAAGGTATGTATCAATCAACACTTCTTCAAAGAGCAATTCCACAGCATCACCTTTTCTATTCCCCAAATCCTCAAAAGCAGTTTGAAGCTAACCAACAATTATCTTCACTGCCAGTGAACTCAAAGTGCTAAAAACACTGTAATTGTTCTCTCCAGACGACCACTAAGATAGCACAAAGTGGCATTCAGCCATCCCTTACCCAGGTTAATAATTAAGTATTAATTTATCTGGTAATTTCCTCAAAATGGTGAGCACAGGCAACAAGGGAAGCTGCAATGCCACCAAGGGAATATCCCTTGGCTACCTTTAAAAAATCAGTGACTGCAGCAGCTTGATGCTGAACTCTGTAGGGAAAGGGAAGAAGCTGGTTTGAAATGAAGAATCAAGAGACAGTTTTCTGCCAATGGAGAAATCTTATAACGAAAATACTAAACAGCTTCAGCATTTCCAGTGGGAAAGGTGATTCTGAATACATTGCAAGTAAACCAGAAATAAATTGGCTTAGCTGCCAAACAGAAATGGCCTAGGTCACATAGGTGCAAAACTGATTTTGGAACAGAGCAAAGACTGGATATGGAGGTGTTTGCTGTGAAGAGATAATGCACAGGTAGTCCTCAAGTTATGACCATTTGTAGTTACAACGATGCTGAAAAAATGGACTCACGACTGGTCCCTGAAGTTACGGCCATTGCAGTGCCCCTGTGGTCACATGATCGTGATCTAGGCACTTGGCAACCCATTCACACTTACAACCAGTTGCCAAGCACTCCGCGATCACGTGATTGCCATTTGCAACCTTCCCTGCAAGCTTTCCACAAGCAAAGTCAGTGGGGAAGCCAGCAGAGGAGGTTGAAAGTCGCTCAGGTAAGTCTCCCCCAACCCACCCTGGCCTTTCTTCACTTGCATGCACCACATCCTCCTTTCCCACTTCACTCGCTCACTCACATGCACGCACCATGCCCTCTGTCCTCCTTCATTCACTCGCATGCACCACACCCCCTTCACACTGCACTGTGGCTCCGGGACTTTGCAGGAGGAAGGCTTTGCAGGAGGAAGGAGAAAGCCTCACAAATGGCCAGCAGCTTCCAACATAAGCTGCAGAGAGTTCTTTAGCACCCAGAAGCTCCCTGGAGCACTCCTTCAGTGCTGGAAGCACCCTGGAGAGTCCTTCAGTGAACAAAGGGGGAAGGAGGGTGCTGGTACATGCGAGTGAGCAAAAGGGGAAGGAGGGTGCAGTGCGTGCATGCAAGCGAAGGGGGAAGGAAGGTGTGGTACAAGCGAGCAAAGGGGGAAGGAGGGCCAAGAAGCCCCTGAGCTGCAGCATGGCAAGCAGCCTCAGAGCTGTGTGGTTCTGTGGCCGCTGGCCAGCCCACAAGGCAGAGTGCAGGGCAGACAAAAGGGCAGAGATGGATGGGAGAGATGGGCAGTTGTGGGGAGTTGGAGGCAGTCCCTTACCTTACTGAGGCTCAAGGCTGGGAGGGACCAGGCCTGGAATATGACTAAACTAATGACCTGTGGAATTTATTTAATGATGGGAGCACCGGGATTCCCATCACTAAGTGATGCAGTCACATGACATCTCACTTTATGACCGCATCGCTTAGCGATGGAAATTCCAGTCCCAGTTGTGCTCGTAAGTTGAGGACTACCTGTATATGTACTATTAATAATCAGTGCCACGAGGCATAAACTTGAACTGATTCTAAAAATATCATCTCTAGCTAAGAGACTCATTGATCACTGCAAGTTTGCAAATGTTTTTTTCCTCTTCAGTACAAGTTTTTTGTTTGTATTTCAAAGATGAGTTAAAGAATGAAATAAATGGATTTGGCACAAGATATTACTCAATTTTGAATTTTGGAAAAAATGTTCAGAAAGCAATCTTTTAGGAGAAATTTCCAGGGAAAATCATTAATACACGAAAAAGGTTTCCCTAAATATTTGAATATTCTCAGTATTCATAAGAAAATAGTATGATCACAAATGTGAAATACCTTTCTTATACACACAGTTTAGGGCAGGTTTTTTTCAAACTGAGTTCCACAAGAAGTTGTGGGGTTGTAGAAAGACTAAGGACAAAACCCCAAAAATTCTCTCAAATAGAGCCAATTTTGAAAAAAATTAAAAAACTCCTGGTTTAAAGAGTGCTGAATTGCTTTCAAAGGGCAAAAAGAGTACAGCTTCAATATAGACATTAAAAAAGCAGGAAGGATGAGGCCCACTGACAGGAGGAAATCTATGTCTCCACATTAACCTCTTCTCAAAAAGATAGTATCAAAAGTCAGTCCTCTTTACCCCAGAGTATATTGATTTCACTGGAAATATAATTCCAGTTATACAAGTATCCTTAAGAGTTTTTAGTATTGTTTGGATTTCAGAATTCATCCACTGGAAGAAAAAAATTGTAATCGTTTTAGACATAAAGGAATTTTGAGATCAGGAGCTTTTTATAAAAGTTTGCTGGGGTAGCATTACTTTTTTGGCAATTTGACTGAGATGAAATTACTAACATTTACAGAAATTCTAATTTATGGTTGCAGAGATAAGTAAGGGTAGCATTCTGATGGTGAAGCAGAAGTAGTCATTATTTTGTTAACTGATAGACTTCACACATTCAACCTGTGTAAGAAACTTAAAATGCTACCCAATTAGAGCATACCCTTTAGTGAATGTGAAGAGATAATGCCAAACACAATTACTACAATTCAGCAGAGACAATGACTTGCTTAAGCATATGTGCTGTCACAACCATGAGTAATGAAATTGAGTGTGAACCCTTGTCTCATGAATTTAGTACCTGTTCCTCATGCAAGAATAGTATGAACATTTATTCTCAATTACACGTGAATGCATTGTCATGCATAAGCTTGCATGCACTTTGTTCTATATACTGACTTTTTAAAGATTTCCTCTACCCTCTACTTAAACTAGTGGATAGTAGTAGTAGTAGTAGTAGTAGTAGTAATGAGGTGAAATTGAAAATTGGTTAACATCTGGCAAAACCGAACTGATAATGAAAGATCCAATAAAAGGAGCAGCACCAGGCAACTACAGGCCAATTACCTGCTTACCAGCAACTTTCAAATTGCTAACTGATGTGGTAGCTGATGCAGTTCAACAGCATCTAGTTTAAAACAAGCTCTTTCCATCTGAGCAGAAAGGAGACTGCCCAAATAGCAGAGGAACAAAAGATCAGCTCCTAATTGATGATTTTGGAAAACTGCAAGAGAAGGAAAAGCAACTTGAATATAGATTGGATTGATTACAAGAAGGCATTTGACTCCCTGACACATGATTGGATAATCAAATGCCTAGAAATAACAGGAGTCAGTAGAAACATCAGAAGCTTTGGGCAAAGACCAATGGCACAATGGAAGACAGTTGCTGGTCAATAGTGATAGAGTGGGAGAGGCTAATATCAAGAGAGGAATCTTTCAAGGAGACTCACTATCACCACTACAGTTTGTCATTGCATTGATTCCTCTGTCAACAACACTGAACAAGTCAGGCCATGGCTATCAAACATCAAAAACATCTGCCAACCTATCCCACCTCCTTTATATAGCCGATCTGAAGCTATATGGAAAAACACCATCTGAAATAGATTCGCTGCTCAACACTGTCTGAGTATACAGCCAAGATATTGCAATGGAGTTTGGATCAGACAAGTGTGCCACCCTTACCATCAACAGGGGAAAAATAATGAAAACTGAAGGAATCAAGATGCCCTATGGAAATAACATCAAGAGTCTGGATGAAGGATCACTACGAATACCTGGGCATCCTTCAAGCTGACAACATCAAGCACATTGAAGTCAAGAAGGTTAGTAGTGAATACATCATGAGAGTGAAGAAGATCTTAAAGTCCAAACTCAGTGGAGGATATACCATCCAGGCAATTAACACCTGAGCAATTCCAGTCATTAGATACACAGCTGAAGTAGTGGACTGGACTCAAGCAGAACTAGAAGCCCTGGATAGGAAGACCAGAAAATAATGACAGCGAATCTTGCCCTTCATCCATGCAGCAATGTTGACAGACTCTACTTACCAAGGAGCATAGGTGGGCATGGAATGTTGCAAGTACACCAGACAGTTGAAGAAAAAAGGACATTAGAAGAATATCTGAAAGACAGTGAAGAAGAGGCACTGAAGCTAGTACACCACAAAGGCTTACTGAATACCAAAGAGAACAAACTGGCTTATAAGAAAGACCAAATGAAGAATAGAAAAGAAACATGGCAAGGCAAAGTATTACATGGCTAGTACAGGCACACACACATAAAACTAGCAGGCAAAGCAGATAACAACAAGACCTGGCAATGGCTAAGAGCAGGAAAGCTGCAGAAAGACAGAGGGGCTAATTCTGGCTGCACAAGACCAAGCCTTAAGAAGAGATGCTTACAAAGCCAGAATCGAAAAGGCAGCAACAGACAGCAAATACCGCCTCTGCAAAGAAGCTGAAGAAAGAGTGGACCACCTAGTTAGCTGCTGCAAGAAGATCACACAAACTGACTAGAAACAACGGCAAAACAAAGTAGCAACTATGGTGCATTGGAATATCTGCAAGAAATACCATTTGCCTGCAAGCAA